ATTATCTACATGTATAAAGGATGAAAGCAACTGTGAAAAACATCCTTGTAGCTAATCAATATTTGATTAACAATCAAGTCTCCTTGATTATGTTAATATTTCCATGTTTATTGCCATCATCCTCATAACATTATCTACATGTAGGAAGGATGAAAGCAACTGTGAAAAACATCTTTGTAGCTAATCAATATTTGATTAACAATCAAGTCTCCTTGATTTTGTTAATATTTCCATGTTTATTGCCATCATCCTCTTAACATTATCTACATGTAGAAACGGTGAAAGCAACTGTGAAAAATATCGTTGTAGCTAATCAATATTTGATTAACAATCAAGTCTCCTTGATTATGTTAATATTTCCATGTTTATTGCCATCATCCTCATAACATTATCTACATCTAGATAGGATGAAAGCAACTGTGAAAAACATCCTTGTAGCTAATCAATATTTGATTAACAATCAAGTCTCCTTGATTTTGTTAATATTTCCATGTTTATTGCCATCATCCTCATAACATTATCTACATGTAGGAAGGATGAAAGCAACTGTGAAAAACATCCTTGTAGCTCATCAATATTTGATTAACAATCAAGTCTCCTTGATTTTGTTAATATTTCCATGTTTATTGCCATCATTCTCATAACATTATCTACATGTATAAAGGATGAAAGCAACTGTGAAAAACATCCTTGTAGCTAATCAATATTTAGGGATTATCTACATTCTAAAAAGGATGAAAGTAACCGTGAAAAAAAAAACCTTTATTAATAATGCTTGATTTTAAAATTGAAATTCCCCACAATGGTTACAAAACTGACTTTTATATTAAAAACAAAATATGTTAACTGAAAATAGATGCTAACACTCCAAAGACTTTATAGTTTAAGTGAAAAGAGACACTCTTTATAAACTTTACAAACAGATGTATTGTTTTTCTGCGCCAGCGGGTTGATCTGCTTCAACATCCCATTGTTCAGCCCCCCCTCTCCCCAACGAGCCGCCAATGTCACTTGCTGTCACACGTTGGCGTCTGCCATTTTTCAAACTTGCAGTCGTCACGACCCAACCAACGCTGTCTTGGCAATATCAGGGTGCTTCCCCCCAACGCCGATCTTCTGCGGATGACTAATCGTAGGCGGGACAGTAGGGTCGTACAGAAGTGCCATTCCTTCTCCGTTGAATAAGTGACTCCAAAATCTTCGAATGCAGAAAAATCATCCAATAGTAATTGTTCGTCTGTTTGCCTTTGGAGTCGGTTTTCTTGCAAATGGTGAAAATTGAAGAATATATAAAGAGTTATTTGAATTGGGAGATATGCGTTTCGGTGTTAAAATACTTTTAGAATTAAAAAAAAAATATAACAAAAGTTAATTTATATTAAATTGAGTTTTAGTGAGAAGATACTTTCACGTATTCTTATAATAAAAAATATATATCAAACAAAGCTTTAAGGTTTTAATTTATTTTCTGCCAACTTTCAATTTATTTAGAAGAATAAAATTAATTTTTTTCTGCTTGTATTTTCCAATCAAAAAGTGAATTTATTTATACTTTCTTTTAATTTCTTTATTTGTCAATTACTTTTTATACTTTTATTTTTATGTATAGATTACATAGATATTTTTTTATATTAATAATATTTTACATTGTATTTTGGTTTTTCATCATTCTAACATATCGTTTTTTATTATCTATGTCTCTTTATGTTTTCTCAAGTTTTAATTATCTTTTTTGATATTTAATTAATTTCGATATTCATTTACATTTTTATTATGTTTTGATAATTTTCATTTACCTATAAAATTGGTCTATATTTTGATTAGTGGTATCTTATCATTGTATATTTCAGAAATACATATTTTGAACATTTTACTCGTATGCTTAATATAGTTCAGTTGTTATAACCTTGTAAGACAGGTGATTGATAAAAAAAGGTTTGCAATCTCCATATTTTAGACCAAAAAGAAATAGTAAATTGGTGTAAAAATGTAGCACATTTATTTCTATTTTAAATTATTTCGGTTGAGTGAGAAATGAGGTCCCCAATCTTATAAAATAAATTTTACATCAGAAAAAAACAAAAAACAAACTTCGTGCTAAATCAAAAAGCTTATTTCTCTTCAAAATTACAACAGTTGATTTATAAATGCTGTATGCAATCCTATAAAACTTTTAGACCAGACAAAACAAGAAAACTGGGATGAAAAACAAAGTTAATTTGTCTTAAAATAACGGAATTTGATTGATAAATAAAATATAAAAGTTTTAGATCAAATAAAGCAACAAAACTGGTATCAAAATCAAGTTCATTTATTTCACTTTAAAATTACAAGGCTATATTGAAAATAAATTCTTCAATCATGTAAAATCAATGATGCAAACATATGTTATAAAAATGTATTTTACAACATAATCTCCTTTTTTGTCAATGCACTTAAATCAATATTTATCCATGGAGTACATATATTAAATATTATACATTGAAAATTTAATGTAAAAGTTCAGTTAATAACTGTATTAAGCTACAGACTTATTGATCTAACCTGATGTATAATCAATAATGATAAACAGGTAAAAGAATACAACAATCATTAAATAGTCGGCAGAATATATGACGGTTGACATAGTAAAACATCAGGTAACCTGTCGTCGTTAATAGCTGCGATAGAAATATATCGTTAGTCCTGTTCAAAGGTATTGTGTGACATTTCGATAACTAACGGTATTAAGTACTAGTGTTTATTCATCATGAATGCTATGCCCAAATTATTGATTATACACCAGATTAGATCAATAAGTTCATAGCTTGATACAGTTATTAACTGAATTTTTACATTAATGTTTGCATCATTGGTCAAGGGATGATCTTTTGCATGATTATTTTGCAGTCGAAAAATTTAATATGAAAACACATAGAATTTTAATAATAAATTAAGTGTTCTGAATTTCACTAATTATATATTTAAATAAGTAAGAAAATAATTAATTCTTTTTCCCTGAAAAATCCCGTTGCATCCAAATCCATAGCCTGATTTTACTGTGAAAGAATATTAAAGGCATATTTTCATATTCTAAATACAAGTTTATGAACTCAAAAGTAAAGCAGTAGATTAAAAGAAATAATTTATTAACGCATGAGCATCAGTACCCCACTACAATACAATTAACAATAAAAAGAAGAGGCAAGAAATTATTATTTTATATTATCTCCATACAATCTATAGACGTTAATTCCCATGTTTCTACCAAAATTCATTTTCATTGATCCAAATCCTAGCCCAGGAAGGATCCTAAATATCTCCTAATGGATACTAAAATTAAAATATTAGTTCAAATAAACATCTAGAAATCATTCTTTTACATATTTCATTTAAACTTAATGATAAACTATGATGTACTGTTTCATAACGTTATAAGTTTAATCTGACACAAGTTCACTGATGTGGGGTACTCAATGAGGATCGAACTTACGACTGTAGTTCTGGACCTCTAGGTTAGTTTTCTAACCATGACACCAGGAGGTGGAACTTATCATTATCTGTTATTGATAATATTAAAAAAAAAACGCTTTGGTTACTGTATGTCGTAGACTAAATCAATGTATTGATTATGAATCAATACTTAAAATTAATTTAGCACCTTATGTTTTTTCTTAATCGCTACCCCCACAAGCAAGGCAGTACAGCCACTGTCACACAAGGTGTTACAGGGTGTGAAGGAATTAGGAATACAAACATTAGTAATGAGGAGAAAGAAAATAAGAATCAGGAGGAGAATAGATAGCGATTGAAATTGCATTTAAATTTTTGCGGATTAAAGTTGGTTGGAAAACGTGGGGCCGGGTGGGTGTTCCACAAGCAAGAAGTGCGGGATAAGAAACTGTTAGTATAGAAGTTATGGTTACATCTAGCTAGCTCAACTGTAAATTGATGATATATCCCTGCTAGTGTAGTACTGTGTTTACATTCATAAAATCTAAGTACAATAACGAAGAGCTCATTCGAAAGATTACCATGAAAACAGGTACAGAGAGGTAACCTTACGGCAGTGGTCAAGTGACTGAAGTGGAGCCACCAGATCAGGACCAATAATATTGCTGATTCTTCTTTGGATTCTGTCTATATTTCTGAGATGAGGTATTATGTACATTATTTACATTATTCGGACTATTGTCCTCATCTTTGTCGCCATATTTATCACAACGTTTCGGCCTTCTTCAGGTGGTTGGAATTTCAAAATTCCAACCACCTGAAGAAGGCCGGAGTGTACAACGGCCGAAACGTTGTGATAAATATGGCGACAAAGATGAGGACAATAGTCCGAATAATGTAAATAATGTCTTCTTTGGATGTTATCAAGGAGCTCCAGGAAAAAAAAAACTGGGAAGGGGAACCGAACCATATATGGCAGCAATTTTCTAAGTATGGACGAATGGTAGACATATAGATATGCAAGACAGATTCCGGAGAAAAGATTGTCTCAGTGAGTCGACTTTCTTAGCATCTGATCTAGCGATGGATTCAATGTAGTCTTTCCACCTCATGTCATCTGAGAACGTTATCCTGAGAAGGCGCAAAGAGACACTTTCTTGGAGGATAGCATCAGTCATCCTGACGGAAAGCAGAGAGGAGTCTCTTAAATGGTTAATGAGAGCGGCTTAGTTTTGTTGGCGTTAAAATTGACAAGCCATCTTTTTCCCCAGATAACGACGGTCTTGAGATCGTTTTGTACGTCGGCTGCCAATTTGACGTTGTCTAATTGATCAGCTTTACTATTTTTTATATTATGGCGTGCTAGGAAAATTCTTAGTACATATTCGGAATCAACGTACTCGTGTTAGTTCAGCACAGTTACCTTTTTGAAATCACAATTTTTGTTTAAATTAATTTTAAATATTTTTAACAGTTTAAAATTGGGGATAATTTGAAATGAGTTAAATGAAAAAGGGAAGCCAGTCAATTAATATTCTTTAGAAATTAAAGTTTTCGTCAACTGTACCAAAATAATTAAGAGAAATTGAAGAGGATATTTAGACTATTTTTTTTATTTATTTTGACTTATCTCAGTAATAACAAATCTATTACTTAGAGAAGTAAATGTTTTTGTTTGAGTTGGGAAACAAGAAAGAATAACACAAAATAATGGTTACATACAATTTTCATTTTCATAAATGTTTCTTCTCTCAGATTTCTCGCTTGTGGATTCTCTTCCGGCTTCTTTCATATCAGTCAATATTGATCTTCAAAAAATGCAATATCAATCGTTATCTTCTTAATTCCTGTTCTATTATTGTTCTCGTTCCTCTTCTTTTTTCTCATATTCTTTCACACTAACCCTTTGCAGAATTATTATTGCTTTACTGCTTTGCTTTTGGTGAAATGATTAAAAAATCATTTATTCTCACAAGCACAGCTCACACTCTACGAAAGGCTTTATCTACGTTAAAAGTGTGTATTTTTAATTTGATTTATTTTATTCTTACACAGATATACAGTGGAAAATGTTATCAAGGCATTTCTGATCTTAGGTCTCTGGTTGGGACCCGGAAGAAAGTGAGTATACAACAGAAATCAAAGGAAATGATAATAAATAAATAAATAAATGAATAAATAAATAAATAACTGAACATATTAAAACTTATCTATACCAATAATAATAGAAACACTAAGAAAAATTAAAAGGAACACTGATATCCAGATAAAGGAAAATCACAAGAAACCCACACTGTATGACATATAAAAGACTGTGCTGATAAGCACTACTCAAATACTCAGAAAACCCAAGAAAACCCCCAAATCTCATGAAAAATTTCATACTTTAAAATATAAGAACACGACTCACATAATCAAAAATAAAATAAAATAAAATAAATAAATAAAAAATTAAATAAAATAAATAAAAAATAAAAAACAAAGAAAAATATCAATAACTTTCTAAGAAAAATCATTCTTTATCTTATATCTCAGGTAAAAGAATTGGTAAATAATTGTATCAAATAACAAATCAATGGAAAGGGAATAAAAAAATAAATAAATTCCAGGAGGACAATCTGGCCAACATCAAAATAAAAATAAGTATTTTCAAGAAGAGGCCGTGTTCCTATTATTATTTTAGCGATGATTCTGCTCAGATATATTTTATGAAAATATGAATTCATGATAAAAATTGAACCCGATCACGCATA